AAGAATGCATTAGATTAGGGAGACCACGAGAGAAAAATATGGTGAAATATCTTAATTTCTCATAACTATGGCTATATATGACAAATATTTTTTGGATGCAAACTCATACCAATTATTTGAACACGGGTTGGGTCGGGTTCTACGGGTTGTATAATCTAAAATCCCAACCCAACCCAAAAGGGGCGGGTTGTACAATAGAAAACCCTCACCCAACCCAAAATCTTCGTTTTAGCGATAAATACGGGTGGGTTGGGTCGGGTTGGACGGGTCGGTCGGTTTGCGGGTGTGTTTGTTCACCCCTATTTGCAGCCCTATCTCCAGGTCCAACGGAAGCGACAAAAAGTCAAAAAATAATTCCCAGTGAACGCACGTGACGAGACGACACTCGATGTCCAAGTGTTTAGGGATGGCAATGGGTCGGGTTGGGTCGGGTTTTGCCAAACCCAAACCCTAATCCATGGGTTTATCCGTGAAAAAAACCCGGGGTAAAACCCACTGGGTTTGAAAAACTCAAACCCAACCCAACCCGCTGGGTATCCGCGGGTTCATGGGTACCCACGGGTTTTTGTCATAAAAAATTCACAATAACAAATTCCTATCAAAATTAAAGTCAAATATCAATCTCCCAATACAAATTATCCATATATAAAACACCATTCTAGAAAATTCAAGCAAATCACAAATTAACTATACAAATTGTTCAACACCAATCTAGAAAACTCAAGAAAATTGAAGCAAATCACAAATTATCCATAAATAACATGATTAATTGAAATCTTCTTCCTTTCAATTAAGTTTTTCACTCTCCACTCGATAACATCAACTTCATACTACATAACTAGAAAGAAAAAATTAGGCCTGTCTCCACAAACATAAATAAGGTTAATTGTTTAGAATATTAAATATGCCGAGAAAATTAATTATTTGGGTGTGGGCGGGTACCCATGGTCCGGGTTTACCTAAACCCAAACCCAACCCAACCCGGTGAATAGTGAACGGGTTTTAACCCAAACCCGGCCCATAACCCGTCAACACGGATTTTACCCGCGTTGACCGGGTTGGGTCGGGTGGGTACCCGTGGGTTCGGGTTTTGTTGCCATCCCAAGTGTTAACTATCAAACAGTAGAATTACGAGAATGCCCTTTTCAACAAAGCCGATTCCCCCACAAACAAAATCGTCCAACCATTTTCAGAAGCACTCCAATTTCTCTTTTCTCCTCTGGTCGCTGGCTGCTCCTTCTTCACCTACCCCTCCGATACAAGTCACCATGGCCGGAGAACCCAACGACCAAACCCCCATCCCGCCGGCAAAGAAGGCGACGATTCCGGCCCATATGAAGGCCATGTCGGGTTCTCTGGGAGGAATCATGGAGGCTTGCTGTTTGCAGCCAATTGACGTCATCAAGACCCGGCTGCAGCTCGACCGGACGGGGGCTTACAGAGGAATCGTCCACTGCGGCTCCACGGTGTGCCAGACGGAAGGCGTGCGTGCTCTGTGGAAGGGTTTGACCCCCTTTGCCACTCACCTCACACTGAAATACTCGCTACGGATGGGCACCAACGCCGTGCTTCAGTCTGCTTTCAAGGACTCCCAAACCGGCCAGCTCAGTAACCGCGGACGCCTTCTCTCTGGCTTTGGCGCTGGGGTTCTGGAGGCTCTCGTTATCGTTACTCCCTTTGAGGTCAGACTGTTGTAGACGCCCCTTCATTTGATCTAATACATGATTTCAGATTCAGCTGAGCCTGTGATGGCTTCTGATTTTCACCCTTTCCTTCATTCGGGGGATTTGAGAGGTTGGTTTGGGTTTTGCGAATCTGGAAGGATTTTCATTTAGTGAGGAGAGAATTTCGCCTCCCAATTTGGAACCTATAAACTTCTCAAGGTTCTGGACGACGTTAAGCTTCTTAACATCCTGTTACAGATGCCTCCTAGTAGTTCCATTCATTTGGCCTGGCTGGATTGGTTTGGAAATGGCTGATAAGATGTGAGTTGTTGTAGAGCTAGAAAGTACCCGGTTAGTTCATCTGTTCAGGGTGGAGTGAGAATTGAGAATGAGGAGGGAGGGGAAGCATTTTAGGCATCAGTTATCTTGGGTTTTGCAAAGCCTAGTCATCTTTCCCTGCATATTAGCTTTAAAGCAGATGAAGTGGTTTCTTTCTTCTCCATCTCGTGCTTATTTTATTGGAATGCCTGAATGAGAAGAAAGATAATTGCTTTGATTCAGACCTTCAGTTTTCTCATTTTTGAATGCAAGACTATGGTGTTGTTGGAGTTTTGGCATAAGGTGGAATGTATTATGAAGTTCCATATGGGTTCTGAAGGATATTCTGTAGAGTTAATCTGACATCTCAGTTTGGAACAGGTGGTGAAGATCAGGCTACAGCAGCAAAAAGGACTGAGTCCAGAGCTTCTAAAGTACAAGGGTCCGGTGCATTGCGCCCGCTTGATAATCCGCGAGGAAGGCATCCTTGGACTGTGGGCAGGTGCAGCGCCCACCGTAATGCGGAATGGCACAAACCAGGCTGCCATGTTTACTGCGAAGAATGCATTTGATGTGTTCCTGTGGAAGAAACACGAAGGGGATGGGAAAGTACTCCAGCCATGGCAGTCTATGATCTCAGGGTTTCTTGCAGGAACAGCTGGTCCCATTTGTACTGGGCCTTTTGATGTAGTCAAAACCCGGCTTATGGCCCAGAGTCGAGAAGCTGGTCATGCCAAGTACAATGGGATGGTTCATGCTATCAAGACGATATATGCTGAAGAAGGGCTGCTTGCCTTGTGGAAGGGATTGATACCCAGACTGATGAGAATCCCACCTGGCCAGGCCATTATGTGGGCTGTGGCTGATCAGGTTATTGGTTTGTATGAGAGGAGATTTCTACCCAATGCACCTTTGTAGGTTTTGTAACTTTGTCGCAGGCTTAGAATGAATCAGAATTTGCTTTTTGTTTAACAGTGTCTTCTTTCTCCATGAGAAGGTTAGGAAAATGGTCAGCAGTTTTGGAATGCATTTTCATATTATTTTTGCATGAGAAGCATTTCATTCTTCGAGTGGTTGTTGCATTGCGTACTCTGGCTTCCTTCTCCATGTTTAGAGGAGTTTGGATAATGGATTTTGATGCGATGATTTACACAATGATAATCTATCTCATGATTGGATTTGTATAGAATTCATTGTTGGGATGGCCAAATTGACGATTTCTGATACTGCAGATTTTGAAATCTAACCAAGTTTCTGATGGCGTTGAAAATACATGCACTTGTTGAATCGATCATGCCGACTCTGGCTCTATTGGTGTGCCATTACGGGGTTATTGGTCTCGATGGATGTGTGGATTCCCATTATGAATTCTAAATGAGAACGGAAAGAAGATTTAGAAAAGTGGTCACTTGCTTTACGGTAGTGTCACATGTGGCAGATGACATGGCGCCAACAAGGTGACAACATGGCGGCTGCACATGTGGCATGTATGGAAGACTAGTAGTATAGAGATGCTCCTAGGATTCTCCACCTTAATAGAGAGCTTAATGGTGCACTTATGAGTCACATAATGGGTGACATTTATAGAGTGCATAATGGGGGGACTAGATACTATAACAACACTCCTTTTGTTGTTATTGTAACAACACCAGTCTCCAACCAATAGGAAGCTAGGGTTGTGATGACTTTTTATTAGTTGAGTTGACCTAGTGTAAAATCAAAGCAGGGGTATAATTGTCATTATGAAAAAATAAAAATAAAAAAAAAATGTTTTTTTTATTTTCTACCAAAAATTTTGGTCGCCGGAATTCGGCCAACGGTCGCCGGAATCTGGTCATCGATCACCGGAATATGCTTTCGTCGCCGGAATATGCTATTTTCTCATCGGAATATGGCAACGGCGCCGGAATATGCTTACCGGCGTCGGAATATGCTTACCGGCGACGGAATCTAGTCATCGGGGCCGGAATATGCCTATCGGTGTCGGAATCTGCTCACTGACGGTCATCGGAGTTCGGTCAACGAAGTTCGTTGACCGGTCAACGGTCAACGACCACCGGATGCTATGGTCTGCATTGTGAGATTTATGGTTTGGTTTCTCACATTTTTGTATTCCTTTTGTGGTTTGCTTTATCGCGTTTGTGGTTTGCATTGAGAAGTTTATGGTTTGCTTTATCGTGTTTGTAGTTTGCATTGAGAAGTTTCTGGTTTGCTTTCAACTACTTTGTGGTTTGCATTTAGGGGTTTGTGGTTTGTTTTAGGAGATTTGTGGTATGCATTAGGAGGTTTCTGGTTTGTTTTTGTGGTTTGCTTTAACGTGTTTGTGGTTTGCATTATGAGGTTTGTGGTGTGTTTTTGAAAATTCTGTGGTTTGCTTTGTGAGGTTTCTGGTTTGTTTTAATATATTTGTGGTCTGCATTAAGACGTTTATGGTTTGCTTTTTTGTGGTTTGATTTACTGTGTTTGTGGTTTGCATTATGAGGTTTCTGGTGTGCTTTCAAAATTATGGGGTTTGCTTTGTGAGGTTTCTGGTTTGTTTTAATAGATTTTTGGTCTATATTAGAACGTTTCGGGTTTGTTTTTGTGGTTTGCTTTATCGTGTTTGTGGTTTGTTTTAATAGATTTTTGGTATGCATTAGGACGTTAGTAGTGTGACCCAGTTCAAAAGCCCTCCTTCTGGTATCGCATTTGCATGTCGATCTAGCTTGTATAACAACGTGTCGTCGGTATAATTGCTCTAGTTGTTACGTTGATAACATCTCATTTCCAGGACATCACACCGGGCGGGACGAGCAACATAACAACCATGATCAAGTGGACGATGACGGAGCTACTAAGGTGCGACAAGGCAATGTGTTCTTGAAGAAATCCACAAAGGATGGAAAAGAGAAAGGCCAGAATGATAGTCCTATTCTGTTTTTGTATTTCTTCTTCTGATACTTCATTACATGGAAGAGATATATATACATACACGTGATTGAAGGGGAAATGTAAAAGAGCTAGGGAAATAAATGGTACATGACTCCTCGAGTCGTCATTCCTATTCCGCGATTCGAGCCTCCTCGGTGGGGAGAACTGGATTTTCTTGGAACGCAGAACCCACATGAACTTCACGCCTCGGAACTCGTCAGTGACCTCTTCGTGGCTCTCCATCCTAATTCGAATCGTGCTTTCCTTGTCGTCGAGCTGAGAAACCTAGTTGAAGACCACCACTTGAAGGAGCTGAGCTACCTGGACGCCGTCGTGAAGGAGGCGTTCCGGCTGCACCTGATTATCATCCAGCGGGAAGCCATCCATCCGTGTACCATCGGCGGGTACGCCATCCCGAAGAAGGCGAAAGTCATGGTCAACGCTTGGGCCATCCACATGGATCCGCAGTTGTGGGAAGAGCCTTTCTAGTTCCGGCCGAAGAGGTTTCTGGACAGCGGCGTGGGAGACGGGATCAGGAGGAGGCTCTCGATTTCACTGGCAGCAACAGCGAGAAGAGATCGAGAGACGGAGAGGGGAAGGTTGGGGATTGAAAATCTATTTATTTAATTTTAATTTGTTTTTTTGTGTTAGTTTACCCTTTTACCCTTAATGAATTTTGTTGTTAGTATAACAGCACTATGAGTGTTGTTATACTATCCGCACCCCATAATGGGGGGACTAAATGGGGTGTATTGATGTAGAGGGACATTATGAGTGTGGGAAACACAATTATTTGCAGTTTTTGGTTATTTCGTATTAGTGTCGGTTTTTAATGATTGAGGGATTATTTGGGTATTTGGGGGAATAAACAGGGAGTTAATTGTTACGTTTTATTATTCGGGTAGCAGATAGGAATTAGACAGGTTATATAATCTGTAATAGTGGTCTTATTTTGGGATTAAGCAATTACAGAACCAAAAACCTAAATCCTAAACCTCTCTCTTCCCTCTCTCCTGCGAATCCTCCCTCTCCCTCTCTTCTCCAAAGCTGCGGCAGCAGCACCTCTTTTTCCCCTCTTCTTGTTCTAAAATTCCCAATTCCAATCCCTAGTTAGATCAATCCCTAATTGATCTAGCTAAATTCCCCAATTCCCATTCTGTTAGAAACCTTGTTTCTAACAATGAGGGGCATTGATGCCTTGTATGAGGAGAGGCCTATATAAGGAGCCATCTCCCTCACTTGTAACTCATTCCATCATTTTTTTAGAGTAATACACACTAGAGAGTTCTCCCAATCCTTTGTCTTTGTTCTTGTTTCTTTGCTTGCAAGTGAGTTGAGAGAAAGGCTGCCTAGCGCTCTAACAGAATTGAGAGCTAGGGCCGCACGATCGAGAGTAAGGTCGGGACAAGTGGTATCAGAGCCTGGTTCGGCTTTGTGCTAGCAAAGTAGAAGCTATAGCCAGAAGGAAAGGAAGAGCCTCACCAAAAATGTCGGGATCAGATAGCGGCGTTACTGATGCCGAGAAGCGTGGAAGGGATCACACGAAGAATCCCAAGCCAAAGGGTGACAAGTCAAGCACTCGTGATCCTATGGCGGCTCTAGAGAGGCGTGTCTCTCGAGTGGAAGTGAAGGTGGCGGAAGATATCACTGCCATCGAGGATTTGGGAGGTAACTTCGCCCAAGTCCAAAGCGATGTTCAAGGTTTGGCTGGTAGGTTGACAAGCTTGGAGATCAACCATGATGGGATGCGAGAAGAGCTTGTGGCTCTCATCAACACCACCATCACCGCCTCCATGAACAACGCCATTGAAGTTGTGAAAGAGCATGTCCAGGATGAGCTGGTCGGCGTGAAGGAGGAGATTGCAGACCTCAAGAGTGAGGTCACTCTCGTGAAGAGAGCCATGGCTAGCGGACCAGCCCCGCTGCAATCCGTCCCACGTGCTGATGTTCCAAGACCGAAGAACTTCGGAGGTTCAAGGAACGCGAGGGAGTTAGAGAACTTCCTTTGGAGTCTTGAGCAGTTCTTCAAGGCATCCGGCATCCAAGAGGATGAGGTAAAACTCCGTACCGTACCGCTCCACTTTACTTGGTTGATGTTGCCATGGTGTGGTGGAGGCGACGTGAAGCGGACGTCGAAAGAGGTACTTGTGTGATGGTAACGTGGGAAGATTTCAAGAGAGAAATCAAGAAGCAGTTCTACCCGGAGAACGTGGAGTTTGAAGCCCGTTCGAAGTTGAGAAGACTCACCCAGAGGGGTGGAGTTCGAGAATATGTGAAAGAATTCTCGGTGCTGCTTCTGGAGATCCCGGACATCACGGACAAGGAGGCCATGCACGGCCTTCTTGATGGGCTGCAACCATGGGCCAAGATGGAGATGCAACGTTGAGGAGTGCAAGACCTTGCAACTGCCATGGCCACGGCGGAGTCTTTTGTTGAGTACAAAAGGCAAGAGAGCAGCGGCAAAGAGAAGAGTTCAAAGCCCAACAAGGGTGGAGAACAGCAGAAGCCTTTCAAGGAGGGCACTCGCGTTCAACAACACCAAGGTGGTTCGAGCAAAGGGGGTAAGTACGAGCCAAAACTCATGTCTTGCTTCCTTTGCGATGGACCACATCGAGTGCGGGATTGCCCAAGGAAGGCGAGATTGGCAGCCATGGAAGCTCAAGAGGAGGAGCCCAAGGCGGCGGAGGCCAAGATTGGCTCAATCCGCAAGCTTGGCGCGGTGAAGACCGATGTCAAGGAGAGCAAGCGTGGGAGGTGCTATGTTCTGGCGCAATTCATGCAAGGCGAGTCAAAAGCCTTGGTGGATACTGGTGCCACGGACAACTTCCTTCGCATTGAGGAGGCAAACCGAATAGGTATTGCCTACGAGAAGGGGCAAGGGAGGCTCAAGACGATCAACTCGGAGTCCATCCCAATCCATGGAGTTGCTCACAACGTGCCAGTGAAGCTTGGCGAGTGGGAAGGCCTCATCGACTTTTCCGTCGTCACCATGGACGATCACCAAGTCATACTCGGCATCAACTTCCTCGACAAGGAGGGAGTGCTCTTGAAGCCCAACTCCAACACGATGTGCTTGGAGAAGGAAGGGGAGTTCCATGCGGTTCATCTCTTGAGAGAAGATGGCCCCCATAGTGCTTTATCGGCCATGCAGGTATTGAAGGGGTTCAAGAAGAATGAACCAACCTTTCTTGTGTCCTTGAAAATGGAGGAAGAAGGAGGCTCAACGGGAATCACAACTCCCATCATCGAAGGCGTCCTCGAAGAGTTCGACGACGTGATGCCATCGGAGTTGCCCAAGAAGCTGCCACCAAGAAGAGAGGTGGACCACAAGATCGAGTTGGAGCCAGGAGCGAAGCCCCCTTCGCGAGCACCATACCGCATGTCGCCACCGGAGTTAGAGAGTTGTGAAGGCAGCTCAAGGACTTGGTGGACGCAGGCTACATGCGGCCATCGAAGTCACCTTTTGGAGCACCAGTGTTGTTCCAAAAGAAGAAGGAAGGGTCGTTGCGGATGTGCATCGACTATAGAGCCATCAACAAGTTGACGGTGAAGAACAAGTGGCCGATTCCCAACATTGCCGACTTGTTCGACCAGCTTGGAGATGCGATGTGGTTCACCAAGCTTGATCTTCGCTCGGGCTACTATCAAGTGCGGATAGCAGAGGGCGACGAGCCAAAGACGGCTTGTGTGATGAGGTATGACTCTTACGAGTTTCTTGTGATGCCATTCGGTCTCACCAACGCACTAGCCACGTTTTGCACTTTGATGAATCAAGTGTTCGAGCCATTCTTGGACCGGTTTGTCGTGGTCTACGTGGATGACATCATCGTGTATAGCAAAACACTCGATGAGCATGCCGAGCATCTACGCCAAGTCTTCCAAGTCCTTCGCGACAACGAGTTGTATGTCAAGAGGGAGAAGTGCACATTTGCCGCCACGGAGGTTCCATTCTTGGGGCACATCATTGGTGGAGGCAAGTTGAAGATGGATGGAGCGAAGGTGCAGGCAATCCAAGAATGGGAGCCGCCGACGAAGGTGCCAGAATTGCGGTCATTCCTCGGCCTTGCCAACTACTATCGGAGGTTTATCAAGGGCTACTCCAACATTGCAGCACCCTTGACGGATCTCTTGAAGAAAACAAGGAGTGGGATTGGTCGGAAAGGTGCCAAGAAGCGTTCCAGGCCTTGAAGCAAGCAGTGGTGAAGGAGCCCGTGCTCGTGCTCCCCAACCCGACGTTGGCCTACGAAGTGCAGACCGATGCATCTGACTTCGCAATTGGAGGTGTGTTGATGCAAGATGGGCATCCCATTGCCTTCGAAAGTCGGAAGCTCAGCGAGACGGAGAGGCGATACACTGTTCAAAAGAAGGAGATGACGGTCGTGGTGCATTGCTTGCGCACATGGAGGCACTACTTGTTGGGGTCAAAGTTCGTAGTGAAGACGGACAACGTGGCAACGAGCTACTTTCTGACGCAGAAGAAGCTCACCCCTAAGCAAGCGAGGTGGCAAGATTTTCTTACCGAGTTTGATTTCGTCATGGAGTACAATCCAGGCAAGGCGAATTCCGTTGCAGATGCTCTTAGCCGCAAAAGTGCAGCCGCAAGCATCAGTCAACCCATGTTTCCTTTGAACGAGCGGATCGTTGAAGGCCTTGGCCATGACCCCTTCGCCAAAACCGTAGCGGAGTACATCGAGAAAGGCAAGACTCGACGGTTTTGGATAAAGGACGCGCTCATCATGACCAAGGGAGAGCGAGTGTTCGTGCCAATATGGGCCAACTTGAGGAAGGAGATCATGAAGGAGTGCCATGATTCCAAGTGGGCGGGCCATCCCGGCATCGAGAGAACTCAAGCTCTCATCGAAGAAGCATACTTCTGGCCGCGTATGAGAGACGACGTGGAGATGTATGTGAAGACTTGTCTTGTGTGCCAGCAAGACAAGATGGAGCAGAGAAGCCCGGCAGGCTTGCTAGAGCCCTTGCCCACGCCTCAACGACCATCTTAGAGTGTAAGCATGGACTTCATCATCGGACTTCCCAAAGTCGATGGATGCGGTTGCATCATGGTTGTGGTGGACAGGTTCTCGAAGTATGGAGTGTTCATTCCTGGGCCAAAAGACTTGACGGCAGAGGATGCGGCGCGTCTATTCTTCAAGAACGTGGTCAAGTATTGGGGCATTCCTAGCAACATCGTGAGCGACAGAGATGGGCGCTTCACGGGCAGATTTTGGCGAGATTTGTTCAAGAACATGGGCTCAGACTTGAACTTCTCAATGACATTTCATCCTCAAAGCGACGGACAGACGGAGCGGGTGAATGCCTTGTTGGAGGTGTACTTGCGATACTACGTGAGTGCAAACCAACGAGATTGGTTGAAGTTGATGGACACGACACAGTTCTCCTACAACTTGCACCGCAGCGAGTCGACCAACACGAGTCCATTTGAGTTGGCGACGGGGCAGCAACCTTTGACACCTACGACGGTGGTAACG